TTTTTTTTTTTTTTTCTGTAGCGCACGTGAAGTGAATTCTCAATGTCGCTGAAAGCACTCGCTTCCTGCCTGGGATCTTGTGTGCCGAAGGGGTGATGAAATGTTCCTTGAATTTCTACCTCTTCCTTACAGCCCCACCACTGCTCCAGGGAGCCCAGGGTGGGGTTTGAAGCTGGCCGGGGTGCGGGCAGCAGGTGCTCCGACACCCAGAGAGCTCCGGCAGTGCTGTCTTCCCTGCTCCCCTCTTCTTTAAATCCTGCAAACTCTTGGTCACTGCACCCATGGGATGAGGCAGTTGCAGTGTCCATGGGTGGGTGTCCTCGAGCAGGGACACCCTACCCTGCCTCCCTGGATGTGTAGAGCACGCATTGCACCGGGCAAACATCTGGCTGCAGTTCCATCACCGCAGCTGGACCAGCGGTGGCTGGGCCATCCCCTCTCTGGTGCCATCCCCAAGCGACGGCCACGTGCACCCCCTCTGCCAAATGCCACTTCTGTTTCAGGTCAGACCAGACGTTTACCCGAGCGAAGAAGGTGGAGCTGTGCCACGATAGCTGCCGGCAACCCACGGCGCTCGCCCCGCTCCCCGCCAACGCCCCAACGCCGCCTGCGCCCGCTCTCCTCTCCTCTCCCGCTGACCCTTTTGTTGTGTGTTCCCCCCACAGAGTGCGATTGCCATCCCGTGGGTGCTGCCGGCCAAACCTGTAACCAAACCACGGGCCAGTGTCCCTGTAAAGACGGTGTCACCGGCATCACGTGCAATCGATGCGCCAAAGGCTACCAGCAAAGCCGCTCTCCCATTGCCCCCTGCATAAGTAGGTGGATCATTCTTTCCATGTCTGTAGATTAGAGATATTAACCCTTACAGACCCGCGGGAGCCCCTGCCCGGGCTGGGTGGCTACTAACCCACCATACGCATGCTGATGGGCAGTGCCTGGGGACAGAGCTGCCTGGGTGCCCCTGCCAGCTGCACTGCCCACCGTAAGACAAACAGTCCAAAAGTCACCTCTAGCTTCCAAGTAGCTCATCTGCCATGTGGGGTGGGTTGTGTGAGTCCATCTACAGCCTGATTTGCCGGTAATTTGATTTTGCTTCACAGAGCTAAGGTGCCCTAAGAGCACATTTGTTTTAGGGTACCACAGCAGGTCTGGATGCTAAGGCAGATCACTACAAACAGGTTTTTCTCTCCAAAATTGGGCTGTGCTGCACTGACACAGAGCTCAAATCAGAGGAGCTGCTGGTTTGATGGAGTCTCCATCACGATAATGCAGCCAATAGCACCTGGGTTGTTAAAGGGGATCTTACGCTCACACAACCCACCCAGAAACACGGGCTGTTTTATCATTTGCTTCCTTGGGTTTGCTTTTTCGGCTTGCCTTCCCAAGGTGGCTCTCATCCTCTGCTCTTGAAACAACAGCAGCAAGCACCAGGTGCAGCTCCCAAAGTCTCTCCGTTGCAGCATTTGCTCTGCAAACACCCACATCCCCCCTCAGTCCCTGTCGAGCACTCGCTGCCCCGGCAAGGTGTGCTTCAGCCCAGGGCTTCTCTCTGCTGCCTGTTGGTTTTGCTGTTGTTGGATCATTCAGTAGCTCATGCACCTTGTCAGGGACATCTCCACCTGCCCTAATGAAACAGAGCATCAAAATTACGGTGCCTGGGACGTGCTGGGAAGGAGGGGCTGCTCCCCTTGAGGTTCACTCCTTGCTGCTAAACGGGGAAAAAAGACCCAAGGGGAAAAGAAAAGTGAAGGTTGAAAGAATCAAGTCTTTGTTGGGAACCCGCAGTCTGCTCCCGGGCTGTCCCCTCGC